AAAATGCAAGTGCGAGTTGACCTTGCTGAATTGAAGTAATTAAAGTGAAGTGTGCTTACCGGATTCTTGTGCCCATGTTGAATGCTTGTGTGAACTGGCAGGATTTCAGGGTCGCCAGACGATGCAGCACGATGGATTCAAGCGACACTGACAAACTCACCTGAAGAAGCTGCCACAGCTGCTGAGGTGACCGCCATGCTTGTTATCAACATGGATGATGATGATATTGATGATGATGATGGTGTGATGATGACGACGACTACGATAATGATGATGATGACTACGATGATGATGATGATGATGATGATGATGATGATGATGATGATGATGACGAGCATGATGACAAGGAGGATGGATGATGCTGGTGCTGACTGATTGTTTATGTTGATAACTACATTTGTTTGAGCCTGATGATGATGATGATGTTGATGATGATGATGATGATGATGATGATGATGATGATGATGATGATGATGATGTTGATGATGTTAATGATGATTAGACAGTATTCCAAACCTTTGGGCAACAACAGCAATTTATCTTCCATAGCGATAATGATGTGACTCTGCTTCTGGTGTACGATTCTGATATGATCGTAATTGTTTTCTGATTTCCTAAATGTTTTGATCATAAACTGCTGTTGCAGTGACAAATATGCCGTCGATTTTTTCTTTGACTCACAGATTATGCGGACGGAGAAAATAGATTGTGAAGTTCTACTTGAGGAGGATTTCTCGGTAAGTGCTTGCCCCCATTTACGCTGCAGTACTCATTAACCATCTTTTTCTTAATAATTATTTTTTTAAGATTCATTCACCACGATTGATTGACTGTCAGATTTCGTTGGATTGATTGTTTAGACCTGTATAAGACGTAATGGATGATTTCTTCTTCTTCTTCTCCTTTTTTTTTTTCTTCTTCTTTTTCTTCTTCTTCTTGGGTGGTTCCTGGAGATGCTTGACCTCGCAGGTCTTCTTCTTCTTCTTCTTCTTCTTCTTCTTCTTCTTCTTCTTCTTCTTCTTCGGCAAATCTTTGGCAAGGTTTGCCAAGATGGTGGGTGGTCCCCGGAGATCTTTGACCTCACAGGTCTTGTTCTCCCTCTTCTTCTTCTTCTTCTTCTTCTTCTTCTTCTTCTTCTTCTTCTTCTTCTTCTTCTTCTTCTTTAGTGAAGTTTGCCGAGGTGGTGGGTGGTCCTTGGAGATCTTTGATCTTGTGGTTCTTCTTTTTCTTCTTCTTCATCTTGGGAAGGTTTGCCAAGGTGGTGGTCCTTGGAGATCTTTGATGTTGCAGGTCATCTTTTCCTTCTTCTTCTTCTTCTTCTTCTTCTTCTTCTTCTTCTTCTTCTTTAGCGAGGTTTTCTCAAGGTTGTGGGTGGTCCTTGGAGATCTTTGATGTTGCAGGTCTTCTTCTTCTTCTTCTTCTTCTTCTTCTTCTTGGCAAGGTTCACCAAGGTGGTAGGTGGTCCTTGGAGATCTTTTGGTCTCACAGGTCTATCCCCACCAGAAGATGGGTAACTGAGTAGTATATTGGAGCAACATGTGGGAATGGGTATCTGCGGCACATAGTCTGTGCGCTGTAACCATACAGCGTCTGTAACTGACTTGGAATCAGTGGCCCTTGCCCACATAGAAGGTCGTAGAGGCCAAAAAAAAAAACAAATTGGGTCCGGTAGGCCCGATTTCAATGTGGAGCAATGTGGACGTATGCTTTCTCTCCAGGTCTTTTTTTTGTTGTTTTTTTGGGTCTTGTCATCCTTGTGCTCTTCTTCTTCTTCTTCTTCTTCTTCTTCTTCTTCTTCTTCTTCTTCTTCTTCTTCTTCTTCTTCTTCTTCCTCCTCCTCCTC